GGATGGCAAGTATTACCAGCCGCAGAGCAAGCATTTTCCCGCTTTTGACTCGTGGACCTCAGAGGGCGTTTTTCAGCTGACGATTGCCGATACACATGACATCACCTTCAATGACGCTGGCAAGGCGATAGACGTGACGAAGACGCAAGCGTCCAAGATTGTGCATGCACTTAACAAGAAGCATGGCAGCAAGGCCAAATTCTTCTTTGTCGTTCCGCAGTTTCAGTTTGATAAGTGGAAGATTGTGCAGAAAGTGATACAGTCAGAGATGGCTGACAAGATTGAGCAATGGGTGGTGTGCTTTGAACAGAGCCTTCCGAAGTGAAGTGGAGCAGCGCGCTCGTGACCAAAATGAGGGAGTCCGACATCCCCCAGTTCAGGGTTAAGGTCTTTTGGTTTTTTCCTATTAGGGGCTTACCCCACACCTCATATTAGGAGAGTGGCTATTTTATGGATAAGGTTATGGATTGTTTAGGTGCTTTGGGTTTTGAGTTGTGCTATGGATAATTGTGTTGGTTTGGCTTTGTTTCGGGATTATTGTATTTGTTTTTGGGTGGTGCTTTGTGTATTGGTGGTTGGGGTTGTGTATCTTTGTAAGTTTAGTGGTGGGTTTTCCCTTGGTGAAGATAGGGGGTCTCTTGAGTGAAGGTAGGGGGTTTCTTGGTTCAAGATAGGGGGTTTCTTGAGTCAAGATAGGGGGCTTCTTGGGCTGGGCATCACTACGTTTTCATAAGAGACACCTTGCCCCACTGTATGCTTATTGTTATTCTTGGGTTTAGGGCTTAGGGGTAAGCATATTAAGGGGAATGGGATTTGGTTTTTACGGTTGGGGATTTCGGCTAAGGAATAACGGGGATTTATGGGGGAAGGTGTTTTCGGAGATTTGGGTTGAAGAATAACGGGGATTTGTGGGGGAAGGTGTTTTTCTGAGGTTTTGGGCTTGGGATTTCGGGAATATGGTTTTACGGGGATTTGAGCTTGGGATTTACGGGTTGATATTTGGCATATGGGTATAACGGGGTTTTGGGAATATGGTTTTCGGGATTTTTGGGCTAAGATTTTGGGCTTGGGGTTTTGGGCTTGGGATTTCGGGCTAAGATTTTGGGCTCAGATTTGGCGGAATGGTTCCATAGATTAGTGGGGCAAGGTGTCCTGTAAGTATTCCTCCCCTTGTCCCAGTGTCGCCTCCTCAAACCCTATTCTGGTAGTTTCGGGCCTAAAGACATGCCGGACGCTGCATAGGAATGACAAAACGGCGGCTGTCGTTGACTACAGGTGTGAGCGTATGAAGACGCTGCAAAGAATCCAGCAGTCTGATGCGCTCAATGCTGATTTTGCCTGGCCTTGCCATCGCTATCAGCAACAATTGTCCAAAGGCGGCACCATCACGTCACATCACACCAGCAGCGGCAGCATCGTCATCATCGTCATCATCATCATCATCAGCATCATCATCTTCATCTTCATTGATCATCATCATCATCATCGCCACCGTAGCACATCCTCATGGTCCCATCATCATCTTCTTCGTCAGCTGTAGATGCGAAAGCAACAGCAACAGCACCAGTACCTTCATCTATCTCTTCATCGCCGTAGTCTTCTGCTACGGACCCCGTGCACTCAGAACACCCAAAACAAGGTCCATTCCCTCGCACTGGGCCTTGAGCTCGCGGCTCACGGTTTGGGGCTCATAGGGTGTGTGTGTGTATGTATGTATGTATGTATGTATGTATGTGTGTGTATGTATGTATATATATATATATCAATCACACATACATGGAATACGTGGGCGAGTGCAGCCCAGGACGCGCTGGTGTCTCCTGGAGCTGCCGCCGGATCAGCTCAAGACTTTGGAGGCCGCTTTGGGCTTCGCGACAGCCTTGAGAGACTTGAGAGGCACTTCATCTACTGTAACATACGAACTATAGAACATACTATAACATAATATATAACATACTATAGCATAGTATATAACATAATATATAACATACTATAACATACTATAATATATTATAGCATACACTATCGTGTACTATAACATACTATACTCGACCATCATATACTATGATACGGATGAAGGGATGTGTTTCTAGGCTACGAGTGAGTCGACTTGTGGGACAGGGGTAGCTTGAGTCAGGTTGCGAACGCTTTCGGTGGGAATGCCAATTTAGGGTTTAGGGTTTATAGTTTCATCTACCTCGCAAATCTGATAATCTTCAGCAGAAAAACCGCAGTGGCAGGATGTCTCACACGATGTCACACAGCATGCTTGGCTTGGGACCGGCGGTTGCGTGATTGAGAGACCTGGGTGATGCTTTCGGGCATACTGGGGGTAGGGTTTCAGAGGCCGCCACGACCGTTAGGACCTGTGAGAAATGACACTACCCTTCCGAAAAGTTATGGGACTTTCCGAAAATTAGGGTACCTTATTTTGGGGTCCTGTTAGGATCCTACTATTTAGGGTGCTATATTAGGGTCCCCTATTTTTGGAAACCCCCTTATGGTGCCCACGACGACTGTGCACATTCCCGGAGTGACTCAGAACGAAGGCGCCGCTGTGGAAACGCAAAGACAGTGTGACACTTGCCGACCCCTGAAGCTTTGATACGGCATGGTAAGCACATCCTCTGCCTAACCCACCTCCAGCTGTAGCTTCCATCCAAACCTAGTCTCTATATACCTATATCTTATATCCCCAAATTCCCATACCCCTACAGCTTACATACAGTGTCAAAGAAGCTAGAAGCGCAAAGCCCTAATATTCAATACCTAAATCCTGAAATGCGAGGAGGGGCAAAGCTTCCATTTTCGCGAACTGAGTGGCGGAGCGCCTGCCCAAGTAGGTTAAATGTCAGCATTCTTCAGATTCCGGACTCATCAATAAGTATATTGATGTCGCTGCTCTCATTTTAAGTCATTGTGCTTTCTGTTGTCGGCAAGGCTTGTTATTTCCCCATTTGTGCAGAGAGTATTTCTTTACATTCTGTCGTAAATGTTCACATTATTGGCACCTGTGCTGCGAACTTGAAGACTGTCTGTCCACTACCAGGTAGCTTAATTCCTGCGGGGTTCCCTGTGGTTGGAGCAGATGGGTGATGAGGTGACCTCGGGAAAGCATCGTGGCAGAGACAACATCTTTCAATTCTTTACCAGAACATACTATAAACGTTTAAAGTTCCTATACTATAAATATACTAGTCTAGTTTTCGGATTTCGGTCTCCGGGGACTGGGTCACTGGACGCTGTTGAAGAGGATCCTATTTTCTCAGCCTGCTTGAACTGGGGAGTCATGTCCCGACTCTCGTTCGCCGAAGTCAACTGGAGACGAGGCTTTGATGATCTCGGTTCAGGCTTTGGCGGCCAAACTTTGGCGTGTATACGGCAAGAGTCACGGGTCCTTTACCCTTTTGAAGTCTCGTCTACATTGGATGTCCTGATGTCAACCTGTTTGAACGACCCTGCAGCCCTTTGGTGGTTCAAAACACTCGCTTCGCCTACTTATTCGTCTTGACTCACATCACAATGGACTGGGCCTTAGCACTTGTGGGTGCAGGGACCGAAGCACGTAGGAGGTGGTTTCGTGACAGCTCGTTGATTTTTTTGTGCCGGCGCAATTTCTGCTGTGGGCAAACTGTCTGATCATTTGTGCCTCACTCATATGGGTAGTTCTCGAAATTAGGGCCCCTTTTAGGTCCCCAATATAGTATAGCACCCTTGTAAAAAACGACCCGAAAAGGGACCCTAATTTAGAGAACTAATTGCCCATATTTACAAAGAAGCCTCCATCCGTGTTGTTCGACGCGAGCATTTGTTCCCGAGGCGAAGATGCTCACAGTGCCTTGCATTCTTTGGATTTGCGGTCGAGGTAGAAAGGTTAGGGGTCCGGGTTTAGGGTTTACAAACAACTTGTTGAAGTCATCGCGGGCCCGTCGTCGCGTGCGAGGACCTGAACGTTGAACACCCGCGAGTTTGCTACTGGTATAGTTCACCCTTGTTTTGACCCTTAGAGTGACCTGACAGCAAATGCAAAAGTAGCCCTAGCAGGGCCAATGCCAACCCAAGTTATTCGTGACCCCAATAGGTTCCTCATTTTTGGCCCATGTAGTAACCCTAGTAGCAACCCTGATAGGTCTCCTTATACGGACCCTTATATATAAATTTTACCCGTATAGCCACCCAAGTACACTGTCGCGGTCTTAGTCTCGCTGCCGAACCCAACGCCCTAAATGGGTGCATACATATTCAAACATTATTTGCATAAGTCGAAGCTATCTCCGCAGAACATCTCGCAGAACTGGCCCCGGAAAGCCATTCAAGTGGATATTCAGAGGTCCGGATAGTGGGCCCCCCGCATTTACAGTCTCCCCTAAACCCCTAAACCCTAAATCCCCTAAATCCTACATTCCTAAACCCTAAACCCTTAATCCCCTAAGCCCTAAACCCCTAAACCCCTAAACCCCTAAACCCTAAGCCCTTAATCGTTTATTTGGCTTAGGTAGCCCTGGCCTTCGCTTTGCCTTCTGTGCACGCACGGCTAGGAGAAGCCCCAAGGAGACTTTTTCAGGGTTTAGGGGTTTAAGGTTTAGGGTTTAGGGTTTACATAGGGGTTTAAGGGAAAGGGTTTATTTATGTGAAGGGTCTCTAGAGTCTAGAGGTTCATGGTCGGAAAGTCTTCTTCGACTTCGAGTTTGAATTTCAGATTCGAAGTTTCGGGGGCGGAGGTTGGGTCTGTGTGTTTCATGTAAAGACTTAGATACTTTGCCTTTCGCGGTTGCCGTCGCGTGTTGTCGATGTCTCGTCGAGGGCAAGCATTGGCACACGCGTCACGATCTCCGGATGTGCAACGAGCTCTTGACCGCAGGGGTTCTATCGTATTCATGAGGGCCTTTAACTGGTTGGTGAATCCTCGCCTGACTTGAAGGACCCCAATCTCCACCAACCCTAAACCCTAAACCCTAAGCCCTAAACCCTAAACCCTAAACCCACAGCTGTCCCTGCAGAGGAATGTGACCGGCCCGTCGCCGGAAGATCTCCTTCCCGGCGGGGCCGCACGCCGGGAGGAGTATCTTAGATAGCCAATGGGAGAACTTCAAACTGTTTGGCTTATATATATATATATATAATGTCTATCCTAAAAAGTTTGAACTTTTTTGGGCCTGGTTGTTGAAGAAGAGAGGTATTGGGAGAACGCGACCTTGCGCTGGAACGTGGACCCCAGCATGTCGGAGCTCCACAACATGCGCAGGCCTCTTTTTCTCTCAGGGATGTTAGGTGGCTCGACGAGAAGGGTTTAGGGTTTAGGGTTTAGTAATTTAGGGTTTAGGGTTTAGGGCCAGAAGCAGGAGTTTGGAGCCCCACCTTGCTGAAACAGGCGTGCTGGCTACGAGCATTTGGCCACCACGACCCGGTATGGCGACACCTGCTGTGCCTCCTGCGGCTCCATCGACACTGCCAAGCTAGTCCGGGGCACAGGCGGGTGCTGCGAAGGAATTCTGATGGCCGAGCCATCCCCGGTGTAGGGCTACAGGCTACATGCGGAGCTATCGTACGGCTGATGACATAAATCCTGCATTGCCCAGAGTAAGGAATATATACTGAATATACCACAGTTCCCATTGTTTAGGGTCCTTAAGGTAGTGCAGGGTTTATACCATCATCAGTAGGAGTCATGCATCAGATGCATGCAGGCTTCTACGCCGTGGCATCTGCCGAGTCCATGCAGGACCACGGCATCGGATACTCAGCAGCACAGAGTGTGGTGTTTGGACAGGTGGGGACCCTGGAAGGCAGTGGGAACAGAGGGGTGTTTCGTCCACTTGTCGACCGTCTGGAGGGCCACCTTCAATATGATATAGTACAGTATAGTATAGTATAGTGTAGTGTAGTATAGTATAACATAATACAACATAATTCTATATAGCACAATATAACACAATATAATGCAACATAATGCAATATAATGCAATATAACATATCTCAGGGCTTCAGTCAGCCAATGTCCAGAGGAAGAAACTATACCTCTTTGACCCCAAGCAGAGGTTGATTCGCCTCGGAGGGACTCGAGTGGGTAGCACTTTAAGCCTGTCTCCCATCTAGGGTCTTGGGTTGAAGGTTTAGGGTTTAGGGTTAAGGGTGATATCCAGCACATTTGAAGGCTTTTGTCTTACACCTGATGCTCCCATCCAAGGCAAGACTCCAACACCCCAAGGCCAACCCTCGGGTTCCTGAATACTGTAAGTATATAGCACACGCACACACACACACACATACATATATATATACACACACACACATTATATATATATATACATACATGTATGTATACATATATATATATAAATATTTATATACACACATATATATATATATATATATACATACGAGCCCGGTGCTACTTATGAATGCCCCTATATTACAAAAATCCAACATTTTGATAACATACCTCAGAGCCTTATTCTACGTATGAAGGCCCCTATTCAAAAACAAACCTGAGACCGCAGTAGGACAGTCTGCTCCCGCAGAGGAGATGGGCACTATTGCACGCAGGATGCCTCCCCGCATCGTGGAACCCAAGGACACGGGGGCATGGCTGGTAGTCTAACAATACATCAACACAAAGCCATGATGATGGCGAACCTGCTAAATACCGTGATAAACCCTGCTGTCAGTGTGGCTTTCCCTTAGAGCTGCCGCGGATTTGTGGATAGTGGTTTGCAGTAGTTGCTTCTGTGTATGTCTTGGATTCCAGCGGTGCTTAGTCTCTAGGCTTGTATCCGAACCCAGTGAGCCGTTAAGAGCAATGAGGGTGCTTTCAACTCTACAGCCCTTTGGCCAGGAATGGGATGCCTGTCTTGCGCCAAGGGCAAGTTTCTGCCGGCCCACCCCTTTTCCTACCCTCTCTGGGCACAGCCGGGCGCCGGTATCTTCGAGCGGGAGCGGGCATAACTGTCTTTTCATATTTGCTGTGGTGGGGTAGTGTTGTTACCGCTCTTCTTGTTGCAAGGCCAGTTTAGATGTTTCATGCTCGTGGGATAGCTATCGAGAGTTCGCGTGGGGCTGGACTAACTACATCTTCGTGAAGCCATTTGGACACGGTGCCTGCACCTTGCGGCATTTGCTGCTTCAGCATTCATCTACAGATAGTCTGCAAAAGGGTCCCTCTTCAGTTCTGTATACCGTCACCTTGACCTCTAATTCCTGTGGAAGCTTGTCAGTCTATCAGTCCGCGTACCCTAGATTGAAGCTTGTCTGCCTACCACGCGCCTGAAAGTAGATATGTGCTCCGCTGACTTCAACCTGGAAGTTTAGAAGTGCCCGCAAGCTCTGTCCCACTGAAGCCATCGGCCGATAAGTGTACCCTGAGGGCACAGCAGTGGTACTACAAGACAAGGGTTACTCCAGAGGTTACTGTAGGGGTCCTTCACGGGTTACCATAACGTGAATTAACTATGCAGGTTGCTAGATGGGGACTGGTAGGCTTATGATATGGTTATTGGAACGCTGGTTGATGGGGTCCTTTAGGGTTACTTATAGAGTCACTGTAGAAGAAGGGTTACCATACAGGTCCTATACCCCCTATAAACCTCAACCCGAAACCGATAGTCCTGTAAATTACCATGGGGATACTATATCCTAAACCCTAAACCCCTAAACCCTAAACCCCTAAACCCTAAACCCTAATATAAGACTTACAGTTATGATCAGGAGATCAAAATCGTGGTCGCGGACACTTGCCCGCATCATGGCAATGAGGCCCGGGCTTGGGGTTTAGTGGGGGTTTGGAGTTTAGGTTTGCGCTTTAGGATTGGGGGTTTATAGAGATTAAGGTTTATAGAGCTTATAGAGTTTGTAGGGTCGAGGGTTTAGAGGCTGGGGGTTAGGGCTTACTGACTTTTCGGGTTTAGGGTTTGGGGTTCTGAGGCCCCGAACCCTCAGCTTCAAGCTTAGCGCCAACCCTTTAGTCTGTACCACAAGGGTCGGAATAGTCAGAAAAAATTCTGTGGTGACTGTAACTGTAGTGAAAGTAGAACATACCTCAAAACCCTACTCTAGAAAAGTCAGGCCTCAACATTTTCTTCCATTGCAGTATTTCTGCATGATGTAGTCATAATAGTTCGAGGAGAGAGAGTGGAAGACGGGACCATGGCCATGTGCCAGTAACACAGGTACATGTGTCGGGACAGCCTGTATGTAGATGCAAGGAGTCAATAGCAAAGGCTCACACACGGAAAGACCAGCGCTGTTTATGCATGTAATATTATGTCTGCGCACCTTAGTGCCTGTAAACTGCACACATACCAGATCAAGGACGAGTTGGTCTGTTGTAAGTGCACCTTGCAACTCACGCTAGAACCTCCATGGGCACAATGTACTGGCCACTGTCGGAAAGCTGAGACTTTCGACATTTTTGTACAAGCTCCAGATGACCCAGGAATCAGTTTAATCAGAGCATCAGGCTGCGTAGTGATTGGTGTGTTTGTGCTTGCTCTTGATGTGCTGCTGTAGATATCTAGCCATTAGATCCTGTGATTGCCGGCGAGTCTTTCAGCGTCAAATCCTCTAATGACGACGATACGGTTACAGTAGCACTGATGAGCACAAGTGGAACAAGCGAAGCAGCTGCTGGCATTCGAAACAGTAATTAACATCACCAAGCATGCAGTATCGATAAACACTCAGTATGGTTAACTAGATAAATACGTACATGTCATATGTATGTATATATATATATATCATATGGTTTTCTTGCCATAAAAAGCAACAGAAAACATAAATAAACAGATATGTAGCAAGGACGGCAAAAGCCGCATGAAGTCAAAAAGCAGGGGGAAATACTTTCGCGGCTGCTAGGCTTACGCCTACTTCACTACTCGTGCAACTGCTAAAGTTGCTACTGGTCCTGCTTCTCTTGCTGCTGCTGCAAGTGCTGCCAGTCCGACGACTGGTATTACTACCACTGCCTGTACCAAACAAGTGTTAGTGAAAGTCGTAGCGATAGCCTCGACACTAGTACCACTGACCATGACCATCATCGTAAGATTCGGCTCATCATCTAAATCATCCCGGACATAGCACCGTGGAAAATAGAAATCGAGCTAATTATAACTCAATAGCTGTAATCGCGGTATAAGAGTTGCAACCAGTCCGAAATAATCACAACTGTAGCAGTTTGCAAGAAGCAGGCAAACTGGATTTTGCCAGAAATATGGCCCTTTTGACAGGCCTGGTGCCCTGCCCGACAGGGTCGCGGGCAGCTGAGCTCGCATGACGAGGGGTTTAGGGTTTCGGTTTGGGGTTTGAGGATGGAAGGGGAGGTTTTTCTTCAGGATTACACACCAGGTCTGGCAGAGCCTAATGAAGGTGAAAGCAGACGTTCCTAGCCAGAAATACTTAGGAACGAGTTCGGCGTGAAGCACCACTTCGACTTTGCGAATCCGTGGCTCGGCCAGCACCACACAGCATGACATGATGAAGCCTTGAACTGCAACCACCGCTCGACATTGCACTTCGTGAGGGCATTTGTTCTTATTCGTTTCCGCTTTGGTTTTGAACCTACAGGAACACCCGAAAGTGAGTACTGAGTCTGCACCGCCTCATCTTGGTATTATTGTTATTGTTGTTATTATTATTATTAGTAGCATTATTTTTGTTTGTATCATTCTTGTTGTTGTTATTATCATTATTATTGTGACTTCGGGACCTCGGGGTAATTGTGGTTCTTCTTTCTTCTTCGCAGTAGAAGGACCGAGCGGCATCACACCCGAAGTGTGACACCGAATCTGTACTTTGGTCACTTCCAGGCAATCCCACAGAATGACAACATGTTCGAACTTTTTTAACCTATACCTATCTAAGCCTTAATACCGTCGGCACAAGCCGTTCTCAAGTGCGAGCAAGGAAGGCCGGCCAAGACCCGAAGCCCTAAACCCAAGAAGGCCGGCCAAGACCCGAAACACTAAACCGAAGAAGGCCGGCCAAGACCCTAAACCCGAAACCGAAGAAGGCCGGCCAAGACCCGAAGCCCTAAACCAAAAAAGGCCGGCCAAGTATGACAACTACTACTTCGTGTGGACGAAGATTGAGTGCCCGGGCCGACTGAAGCGCCGCTATGCGCAGCACAGCAGGTGCTAGGAACCACAGGCGACTGTTTCTTTCTAATTCCTATGTAGTTGCAGTATGAACAAATGAATCTACAATGCCCAAAACCCCATTATTAATTATTACGACTATTACTACGACTATTATTATTCTTAATACAAATTGTTATTCAGGCCGACAAGAGCCGCCTAATTTGCGGAAGCATTGCACGTTTTATCCATGAGCCGCTTCCTTGCCAGCCACTGCCTGTCCAAAAAATACCTTGCGCCGTACTGTGGTTGAGGGTTTGGGGGTTTGCATCATCCATGTAAACAGATGCGAAGAAGCGGCAGAGATCTGGACAAAGAAAGCGGCCAATGCCTCTGAAATTCCGGAGTGCAGCACCTACCACTGCCTAGAGGCTCGGCACTGGACACTGCGAGAGGCTAGCAGTGCCGAAATGTTTAGGAAGTGCATAATACCACGCTTTTGGGCACACTCGCATCCCAACCCTTGCCATTGGTGAGAAGGATGCGTGTCAGCCAGAAATCTCAGTAATTCGCAGACCCCAATTCGGGTCGAAAGTTTTGACATGCATAGGTGAAGGAAGATGGTGGGAACCTCTGGATGTTGCTTTTGCCTGGTTCCGGCCATTCCTGCAAAGTGCATGCTTCCAGATTTACTCGGACCTTTCGCTCCGAGGAAACATTCGCTGAAGGAATGGCGAATATAGTGGGATGGCAGGCAAAACTTGCATTGCACACGCCCCTTCGGAGTACAAAAGCGTTCCGAGACATGTCTCAAGTCTTCCGAGATCGTGAGGTATCTTCTTGGGGTAGTTGCAGCGCGCGGTGGTCTTCTTCAGTATGTCAGCTTCGGTTACTGGCACTGGCGTGATTGGCCCCTAAACTCGTATACTTAAAAATCTGCTGGCCTATGATTCGAGGACCACCCTAAACCCTAAACCCTAAAAGGTTAGGAGTTTCCCGCTGTCTCGGAAGGGAGCATCTATTCTTGGTTCAGGCCCAGGTCCGGGTCTACTGAGTCTATTGGATTTCGGACTCCAAAGGGAGGGGTTGAGGGTTTAGAGCTTACGGAATTTTTGCTACCATGCGCGTAAGCTTGGTAACTATGCTATAACGAGGCTTCTTGGCCTCGGACGATTTGGAACCCTGAAGCCCTTATAGAAGAATAGAACCCTTGAGTAAGTCTTACAGTAGCCTTGTAGAGCCCTTTAGAACTCTATACTAGGCTTACAGTACCGCCTTACAGTACCCTTACCCTCAACCCTAAACCCCAAACTCTAAACCCTAAACCCTCAACCCTCAACCCTAAACCCTAAACTCTAAACCCTCTTAAACCCTAAACCCTAAACCTATGGAGTTGTGCTTCCTTCTCCTGTTCAACTCCAGGCGCCCGGTGATGGTTTCGCTGCACTGTGCACCGCAGATTCCACGCCATGGCCCTAGCGCCCGAGAGTTTGATATGCAAGGTTTTAGGGTTTTTGGGGTTTGGGGCTTTAGGGTTTTAGGGTTTTAGGGTTTAGGGTTTAGGGTTTAGGATATTTTAGAATAGGCTTTGCGGTTTCGTGTTCAGGGTTAGGGTTTGCAGTACCTTAGTTAGAATAGTGTTGGAATAATTGGGGTTTTGGGGGCTCTTACTATAACTATAATATAAGGGGCCTGAAGCGTGTAGGGTTCTGGGATCGCAAGCATAACCGGGAACCCTAAGCAATCGTATTAGGGGTTAGGGTGTAGGGTTTAGTGTATACTAGTGGATGCAAGAGGGTCGGCTTCCGGTCTCGCATGGCCCAGGCAGGATTCAAAGGGTCCACGGCTCAGGATGCAGTGATGAACCTCCTTGCAGATATGGGTAGCTCTCTAAATTAGGGTCCCTTTGTAGGAACCCAAGAAGGCACTACCCTTTTTTTTATGAAGGACCCTAAAACGGACCCTACTGTAGGGAACTACCCATATGCCTTTTCCACAGTTCTTGTCGCATCTGAGGTTTCGGGTGGAGTTCTTGGAGAACTCGAACACCCTCCTGCTGGGACAGGCAGGCTTGAGCGAAACTCCCGGAAAGAAGCCAACCCGAGAGCCATCCCAAGCTTCCGCAGCCTGAACACTCCAATAAGAGCAGATCCCAAGACTATTCTCACAGAACAGCAGCATGAAAGTGGAGTTCCTTACTCCACGATACCTGCATGAAAGGACCTGGTCTGTCTGTTCTGCTGTAGCCCGGAGCATCTGCACGGTGTTAGATTGCAAGCCTGAGCACCCTGAGATCCGCCGACCGCTGCCTCCGGCAGGTCAAGTCGGTTGACAAAGAAAACGCAGGCAATGGGAGCTAGTTGGGGATTTCTTTGGCTGGTGCTGCTGTCCGTTTTCAGCGAGATTCAGTACTCCAACATGTCACGCACCTAGGCATGCTCCTCTGCAGCCATGAGGTGCATTCCAGCAAACATCAGTTCACTCGAGTCAGCCCGCCGCATGCATCTCCAGCTTTACATGAAGGCTGTGTGTGAGGTCATCAGGGCACTGTGCCGACATAGCCAGCATAATGTGTCTCAATACCAAGACGATGATAGAAGGCTTCAATAAAGGCAAGACTTGGATGGACTATGCTCCCGGAGCTTCATGGTGCCAGAGCACTGCCCGTAACACATCCGTTGCCTTTCACCCGCCTGGGCTCCTTTGACTCAGCCCTGACTGGCACCTCCTTCCTGGTTTGCACCCAGGTGTGCGGGGTAGTGACTGCGACTGCAAGTATCGCCGTCCGCACACGGCGCGTGAGCGTACGGCGTTGCGCGATGAAGCGGATCAAGCGGGTCGCAGTGGTTGGGGGCACCCATGGCAATGAGCTCTCTGGCGTCATCTTGGTACGCTCCTGGATGCGAAAGCCGAGCTTCTCCGAATTCAAATCGCTTCATGTGGACACCTTCCTCGCCAACGAAGAGGCTGTGCAGCGCTGCCAGCGCTTCGTGGACGAGGACCTGAACCGATGCTTCGCAAAGTCGAGGCTTTCCCGGGACGGGGCCGACAGCGAGGGGTCGGAGCCGAAGCGCGCCCGGGAAATCAACTTAAGGATTGGGCCAAGAGGCTCGGAAACTGCGTCGGAGCCCTGGCTTTGTCTTCGGCAAAAGCTTCTTTGTGTGCGGTCTTTATGTCGAAGAGTAGGGCTTGAGACTAGCCCCGAGTGGTTCTTCACATTTTCTGAAAGAGAGGATTTGTGCATAGACCTGCACAACACCACTTCCAACTTTGGAAGTGGCATCATCATCACCAACACTTCCTCGCCGGACCTTCACTGGAGGCTGCAGCTTTGCGCCCGGCTTGCCCGTAACCTGGCTTGCGCCAGTTGTGTGGACGGACGACGTTCTGCCCAGCAGCTACTTTACTCGCTGCTTGCAGTGACCCTAAACCCTAAACCCTATAAACTCTAAACCCTAAACCGTCCGAGGTGACTGCCCAGACGTCCACGTTGTCTTCGATTGTGTGGGCGATAGCTCTGACGAGCCCTTCTTGCCGCTGGGCTCCTTAATGGCCAGCCGCCGAAGACTCGCAGATTTTGCAGAAAAGTGAGGCCATGCATTCTAGAGAATGTCAAGTCAGTCCTTGCAACTTGCGAACAAGTGTTGCGTATATACACCCTAAACCCTAAACCCTTAACCCTAAACCTTAAACCCTAAACCCTATAAACCTTATAAACCCTAAACCCTATAAACATCCTCCTCTAATTCGACTCCGGGACCCTGCCTTCAGCCGAGGCCCCTCGTAGCCAAGACGGATCTGACCTTCGAGGTGGGGCCCCAGGCGCACGGCACCATCGTCGCCGAGGCCCGGATGGAACCTCCGATAGTAGGTTTTTTTGGGTTTTAGGAGTTTAGGGGTTTAGGGTTTGAGGTTTATGGGTTGTAGGGTTTAGGAGTTTAGGGTTTGAGGTTTAAGATTTTAAGAGATTTTAAGATTTGGGGTTTGGAGTTTAGGGTTTAGGCTTTGGGATGTTCCTCCATGGTGGTAACAAGCGACGATGCTACCACAATACAGCTTTTCTTTTTATGAACAATGCACTAGCAGTCACGATAGTCAAGCCAAAGCCATAGTAATGGCAGTACTGCGAATTATGGTACTCATCACGGTCATGTAGGAAACTAGCAGCATCCAGAGTAGTAACTGCGTTGTAGCAAATTACGATAAACGGGCATTTCCATTTTGAGTTTGAGTTTCGTGCAGATAATTTGAACGCATTTAGGGTGATACGCAACAGCCCAATTTTGAACATGCTGCTTCTCTTCAGTCGCACCCCCACGGCGTGCCGGCATGTGATTCTCTCCTTACCAGGTGCTCCGCAGACAGCAACAGCTCCTCGGTCTTCAAGAGTTTGACCCTATGGTCCTATGGTCCTTCTGCTGCACTCCACGTGTTATGCTGGCATGAGATTCTGGTCCGATTCTCCTCGCATTGGATAGCTCCTCCAAGAGCATGCGCAGCATCACCCAGCTGCATCATGCCCGAAGAAAGGAAACTAACAGAGGAAGTGCACTTTCTAGTACGGGCGGCAGGCAGATCTGTACACACCACGACATGTTTTTGATTGGGCCCGCCGCCCTTGCACTCACCCACTTCTAATGGAACAGCCGTCGGCCCATAGGAATGCTGCTCGGGTACGGCTACAGCTCTTTTCGCTGCCTTAGAGGGGGGTTGATGTCAAGCGTATCGCCGCACCACGTGTCCCAAAGCAGCCGAGTCGGAACATAGGCTTTTGCTTTGGGTGAGGTCCGGAAGCAAATCTCAGATATAGGCAGCCCTACACCGAAGCACATCTTGTCCTGGGACCCTAAACCCTAAACCCTTAACCCTAAACCCTAAACCCTAAACCCTAAACCCTTAAACCCTAAACCCTTAAACCTTAAACTACGCCGAAAAAAAGGCTTGTCCTGGGCACGCTGGACTTCCTGGAGCGCTACAACGCCGGGCAGCTGTCAGAGGAAGAGAGGAGGGCAAAGACCATCGAGGCCCGAGCTGGCCGAAATCCGAAACTCCTAGGGTTCCTAAGCCTCCTGGGCCGTTCAGGGTTTAGGGGTGTTGGGGTGAATCCGAGAGAAAAACGGGGAGAGAGAGAGAGAGAGAGAGAAAAAGAAAGAGCTGGGGGCACGGGTTGTGCTCGCGCCATAGGTCCCCAAAAGGAAGAAGGATGGAAGGAAAAGGAAGGAAGGAAGGAAAGGAAGGGAAGGAAGGA